AAAAAACATCCACGGTCATCATGTTTTGAAATGGATAATAGTTAATTCATAAATCGGCTTTCTCAATCAAAAAGTGAACGGGTTATGGTGTCTATGAGACACCTGCTTTTATTATTGGGCAAAAAAAAGTTTTCATTTTTCTCATTCTTTGACTTGTCACTCTCTTAAATTGCTGGCACGTAAGAACGTCCTTATTTTCAGGACAAAATATCTGTCAAAAGACTCCACAAGTGAGCTGAGAAGTTATGTTATTGATTAACCCTTTCAGAATCGGTTTAATTTTGAACGCATATATGCGTCATCGGTCCTGAAATGTTTAAGAAACAGTATCATGCATCACTACATGAAGAGGTTTCGTGTAGCATATGAATGTAACATTTCCTAGTGAATAATATTGAAGGTAGGTAGAAACTAAGCATTATTTGTCATTGATTTAATATTAGTAAGATATGAGCATGAGTAACAATAAATTGGATGTTTTCAATTATTTTACTATATTACAAATTAGTTATACATGTCTGACGTGCCTTTTTTTCTCATGTTCTCCGATTTCTTAGTATGTCAAATGACTTACTTCATTTTGGCAAAAAAAGAAAGAATGGACGTAGAAAAAAAAGCGGGAGATTGACAATATTTAATAGACAGATATGCATGAACAACTTTTTAAATTCAGTTCGGTTAAAGGTCAATATATACTCTGAATTTGTTTAACAAAAACGAAACGAACTGCCTCCCTGTTACACTTTTTTCAAGAACAGTAAGTAACTTAGCGATCGACCATTTCTTTTTCTCAGCTGATAGTTACATTATTTTAAACTAATCAACTTTTCTAGTTAATTCTGATTAAAGAAGAGTGCATTTAGAACTAAGTATTTGATAGTCTTTTTGTGAGTGATATAAATTTGATCATTTACTAGTTCATTGTGACTTTAGAATAATGACAACAGAAGTTAGCTTTAAAGCAATAGCCATAGTGGCACAACCAAGTGCGATAGGTTAGATAAAGAGTCTATGTATGAGAATAAAATTCACTGGTCCTGTTTCCATTTTTAGTGACGAAAGATATTGATGACACTACAAAAGCAAAGCCTATTGGTATTCGTGGAGGCGGAGCATGTCTAGATTGGTAATTTTGAGATTAATATCATAAGTCATAAATCTATTTATTATATTTTCTTTAGTCTTGCTGGCATATGTGTGTGTTGTGCAATCGAAGAAATTTGTTGCTGCTGTGCACTTGAAGAATGTTGTTAAATTAGAAAAGATATTCAGATAAAAAAACTTCATCGATTATCGATAAACTTTAACATTACGTTAATAGATTTTATATTCAGTCGTCTTACTAATGTTGACGAAAACGAGAAGAACGATATTTGACATTTTGTAAAGAGAAAATACTACTCGTTTAAAAAATTTCCGTGCAGTAGTAGTTTTATGATATTCGGACTAAAAGTGTTTGTATATGTGTGCTTTGATTCTTTTTTTTTGTATCTGTTATGACTATTTGACTCATTTAACACGAAAAATGTTATTCGCCATTTCGAACGATACTTATCGTTTTTCTTTCAAAT